ATTTTGTAGTAATAGCAGCATTTTTTTTCAGTTTGTATACAAAATGAAAAAAAAATCAACAAAAGATTAAAGCACTTAATGTCAAAAAGCACTTTGAATTAAGTTTCCAGTTAAGTTTAGTTTTTGTCATTTTATTGACTTTTTTAAGGTTGGGTTTGTTACTAAAAAACAGGATGACAAAATCTGAAAATCAATGTAATTGTATAAAAATGGCTGCTCTGCTTGTGTTGACATGTCTTGTTTGAGTTAACACTTAGCTTTTGTTTGTTTTAACTGTTTTTGAACCACTATTTTCCGGGATAGTTTTTATTTTCTTATTATGATCATTTATTTTCATGTTGGGTTGTGTTCACTTTCACTTTGCCTACGTTTTAGGGCTTTTGTAGAAATTTCCATAACATGACATTATTACACAGAGCACATGTGTCAAACTCAAGGCCCGCGGGACAAATCTGGCCATTGTTAACATTTTATCAGACCCCAAAGGTAGTACTTTAACTGTGAAAACGTTTTATGGTCTCTGTATTTAGTACATTTTTCTCATGACAGCCAGACCAGTCAAGAAAAATAAGTTTGAATTTTCAATTGTTTTTGATTTTGTTGTGAAAAGTGCTACAGAGAATTGACTTTAAATATCTTTTGCTGCATTCTGTTCTTATTTTAAATAATATATCTGGATTTTTAGTGAGAAGTTGTTGTTTTTTTAACCTATTTGCTGGATCATGATCAAATGTATATCTAATAAATAATAAATGAAAAGGTTGTTGAGAGTACGGTTTAAAAAGTGAATGCTGAGTTGCTCCAAATGGAATATTTTTTTATTTTTCAGGTGCTCTAAATGCTACATAAAACATAATTTGGAAAAGATAATTTTTTATTTCTAGAATAATTCATTAGAWAACCTTTTCTTAATAAATATGGACAGAAATTGACCCTCTGGATCAAGATATGAATTTTGGCACTGTTGTGTGTCTGAGTTTGACCCCCCTGACACAGAACTATCAAGATATTGAATATTTATTGTACTTCAAACTTTTTAAAATGCAGTAATGTACTTATAAAGATTTATAGAAAAAAAACATGGAATAAGTTGTAGAGTAGTTGAAACTGTGTGACCGCTGGTTGTTCAGACAGCTGTCATCTGCTCCTCTGGTTGCAGCTCTTTTGTTGAATTAACCTGCTGACATCTCTGCCATTCTCAAAAGTGGCTCATCATGTCCTGCAGCCAACCTCCCTGAGACCCTCTGTCAGCACGGATCAGTCCTTACCTGCGCTCTACCTGCAGTGACACCACAGCACCTCTGCAGCCCACAGGACTGCTCCCATCAGTCTCTGAACAAACACAGAGACGAGACAAGTGGACCAGAGACAGCCGCTTTAAATCCTTGTCTTCAGAGATCACCCTGCAGGAAACTGATGGCTGCTCCAGGGCCTCGGTGCTGGTCTCCATCTTACAGTTCCTCTTCATCTCAGCAGGGGGGGTCCAACAACACAAAATATGGTGTTTTGTGTTGGTCCTCAAAGACCAGGACTGGTCCTTGAGGGCCATGCCCTGCAGGTTTTTAGATGTTTCTCTGCTTTGATTCACCTGGTTTGAATGAATGAGTGATCTGCAGAACATAAGAGCAGGGGAACAACTAAAACATGCAGGATGGGGGCCTTGGAGGACCAGAACTGGACCGGACTGAAGAAAAAAAAACATTTTTTTTACATGTCAAACAGTTTTATTTCTAATATTTTTGAGAGATTAAATAAACAGAAACAAACCACAACTGTGGATCTTATTGGATCTTCTGGGCTCCCTTGTCAACACAACTCTGATTTATCCCTCGAGTCCTGGAGCCTTTTTATGCCTGAATGATTTATAAGTCATTGTTGTAGCTTAAGAGCAGGTTTCCTCTGAAAATAGCCACGTACTGGACTAAAAATGAATAAAACAAAATCAGCTAAGGTCTGAAGAAGACTTAACGTCCTTCAGAAAGCGTGGAGAATTGATGAGCACGATTAGATCCTTGGAACAAAATATAAAGAAATGAGAAATGACTGAAGAGATTTGCACAGTACTGTGTATTGTTCTTTTGAAATATTGCTAATTTAGCAGAAAGTGAACTTTTGAGAGGCTAATTTATCACCCGAGCCTCTGCCCAACTCTTGCCATTTGAAACATTTAAATAAAGTTACYACAAAGTCTGTGAAGTTTTTTCACTCCACTCAAGCCCTACAAACTAGACTGACAAAGGAACAAAAAATGAACCCTTTTTCATGTCAGAAGATATGGCATGTTAAACATAGGGCKTCTCTCTGTACTTTCTCTTGTGTTTTAGTCTCACAGCTGTCACTGTTTGAGAGGTGCCTCACCAGCAGAAAAGGTCAGCAGTCTGAAAAACTGATATTCTTGGTTTAAAATAAGGTTATAAAATGAATCTCAACATCTTTGATGATAAGGTAAGACATGATGATACACTGACGTTTAACCATCCAGCAGATGCTTTTTTTTTTTAAAAGTATCTAAAGTCATATGATCATGATATCACAATTTCATGATTATTTAGTGTTGTGATTATGACAGAAGTGGATCCATGGACTTTTAACAGACCTCATACCTAACCTAGCCTTCAACAGAGGGGATCATTTGTTGCCAACTTCAAACATAAAATAAGTAATACTGAGTCTGATATGCATCTGAAGGAATAAAAATATGAATTATTCAATTGAAAATGAGTAGGCCTCCTCTCATTACTAGATTAATAACATTCTCAGTAGCCACTTTTATTTTCCCTTATTAACACTGGTATGTAGCTTTGCTAACTAAAATTATAGACTGCTAGAACATATATATATAT